CTGAGGGAGGGTGAGAGTCACGGCATCTCAGAGTTGGGTGAGCCTGGAGGCGTCATCTCCTCCCAAGTGCAATTTAGCAAGAATCCCTACAAAGCCACCCCCACCCAAACAAAGGGCCATCCAGTCTGTGTGGGAAGGCCATCTGTTATGGGAAGTCCCCTTCACCTGAGGCTGCCCATTCCATTTAAGGACAGCTCTTATATTTAGGACATTTCCCCTTGTTTTATCTATCTGTCTATCTATCTATCTATCTATCTATCTATCTAACTATCAATCATCTATCTATCAGCTTCCACCCATTGCTTCTAGTTCTGCCCAATGAGGCCAATGAGAACAAATATTGTCCCTCTTCTACGTGTCAGCCCTTCAAAGACTTGAAGACAGATACCATGTTTTCCCTCTACCCCTACCCCCAGGTTTTCTCTTATTCAGCCCAAATAACCTCTGTTCCTTCAACTAAGGAGTTCATTTAGCACGATCTCAAGTCCCCTACCAGCCTGGTCTCCCTTCTCTGTATACAGGTTAGGTTGTCAATGTCTTTCCTAAAATGTGCCCTGAATTAAACATAGTACTTCAGATGGGGAGGCTGAGCAGGGCAGAGCAGAGCAGCACTGTTACTGCTCTTATTCTGGACATTCTACACAACGTCCCATGACGAGCTAATGGCGGACCCAGAAAACGGCTGTGACAGAGCCGGCTCTAACTGGCTTGTGAGAGGCCAGGGTTTCAGTATGAGAACTTACACCTCAGAAATTGTCAACGACTACGAATCAGAGCTTGTTTTATTATTTTGTTGATTGTCTAGATTTTAGAAAGTGTTAATATTGCAGATTAAATTTAAAAGTTTGTGTGTGTACATTTTTTCCTCCTGGAAGTCTGGTTGTTAAACATTTACCTAGCACACCCCTTTTTTGCTCTATAAACATTGCTTGAACTCAACAGGAAGGAGTATAGTAGAAGGCTCAGGGAAAGAAGTCATCACTAGACGAGGCTAATAATGATAATAATAATAACAACTGTCATTTGTACATTACTTTAAGGTTTACAAAGTGCTTTACATCCATTATCTTATTTGAACTACACAATACCCCTGACCCAGGACCCCTCCTAATCTCAGTACCCACCCTGTTTGGACACTAGTTAATGATCTTCCTACCCAAGATGTCCTCCCCTCCCACTGACCCCCACCATCCCTTGTTTCAGATTACCCTTCTTTTTTCCCATAGGCCAGAATCCTACAGCAAAGATCAAGAATTGGCAGAGCTCCTACCAGAAGGTAAAGAGCAACAGCACTGGACATGGAGAAGACATAGCCCAGACTGAGTCTCTTGCCCATCTGACTCTAGCTCTTCCTTGGGTGAAGTATTCATCCATCTGTCTGGCCCTGAATGGTGGCCCCATCAACATCTCTTCCATGGTCATGCTGTCTTTGTTCCCCTTCACTCTGACTCATCTCTGTGTCTGTCACATGCAGAATTCTGACCTCTCTGTGCCTGGTTCAGTCACCCTCTTCTGCCCATGCAGATGCCCGGGAATCCCTGTGGTCAGAACTGAAGGCTGGAGGTGAATCAGGCTGGGATTTCTCCTCTCGCTGGTTTGTCGGCAGCAACTATCTGTTTGACACCAAGATTAGTCGGGTAGTTCCGGTTGACCTAAATGCCTTCCTGTGCCAGGCAGAGGAGTTACTGGCCAACTTCCACACCAAGCTGGGTAAGGAGCCCTAGTGAATGTTCTTATTTAGGGGGCACAGAGACTCTGCCTAAAGTTAAGACCCACTTTCTCATTGGCGCTAAGCTCTTCTATCTTTCTGAGTGAGATGTGTGCATCCTTCTGTCTACTCCAAAGTCCTCAGGCCCTTTCCCCACTCTCGATTGACCCTGCTCTTTCCTTAAAGGTAATACGAACATGGCCCAGAACTACCTGGCTGCCCAGGCTCAGCGAAAGGCAGCCATGAAGGCTCTCCTGTGGAATGACATCTTGGGCAGCTGGTTTGACTTCCACTTAGAGACTGGGAAACAAAACCGTGCATTCTATCCTTCCAACCTCAGTCCACTCTGGGCAGGTTGCTTCTCTGATCTTGACACAGTCAGAAAGAATGTAAAGTACCTAGAGGTGAGGATGAGGGGTCTGGAAGGCTGGGAGGCCAGATTCCTGGACCCCAAAGCACTATGGGATCATGGATCTAGAGCTGAAAGGGACCTTTTGCCATCTTCGCCATCCCCCTTCATTTGACAGATGAGGAAACTGAGGCCTGGAGAGGTAGTTACTTGCCTAACTTCCCCCAAGATCTCTACCTCTGACTTGCTATTTGGGCTTCGTCTTTCCGGGTCTCGGTGTAAATGATGGGGTTGGGTTAGGAGGTTTTTCAGAACCCTTCAATTTCTAAATCCTAGGATTCTTAGAGGGCAGATGGCAGCTTCTTTCTTGGTGTCTCCCACCCTGATGGGATCCCCACATCCACCAGAGGGCAGCTTTGAGCCTAGCAGGCCAACCCAGAAAAGCTCTGGGATTGAGACAGTATGTTTGGCCCCAACTAGGTTTCTTCCAGGCCCCAGTTTTGGGAGTCTGTTCCCTGCATCCATAAGCCCAGGTCTTCTCACATTCCTTTCATGGTTATCTTTGGTTCCTATAGGACAACAAGATATTGACCTATAGCCATGGAATTCCAGCCTCCCTCCAGATAAGTGACCAGCAGTGGGACTTTCCCAATGCTTGGGCCCCGCTTCAAGACCTGGTTATCAAAGGTAATGAACATTCAGGTAGTGGGCGGGTGGGAGGGAGAGAGGGACTCCTGGGTCCTAGTGGGCAGGGGGGCTTCGGGAGACTGGATGCTTTCCATAGGGCAAACTGTGCCCTAGACTCAGCATCTTGGGGCTGATGCCTAAATTACTCCTGATCACTTAATTTTTCTGTGCCTCAGTTTCCTCACCTATGAAATGAGGGGGCTGGACTAGATAACTCCTTCCAGCTCCAATTCTGATAGAGTGGCTAGAGCTTTGTATTTAGGGTCAAGGAGTCCTGGTTTCAAATCCTGCCTCAGATACTCCCTAGCTGTGAGACCCTAGGCAAATCACTTATCCTAGCCAAACTCCAGTTTCCTCCTCTGTAAAATGGGGATGACAATAACACCTACTTCACAGGGTTGGAGCGAGGATAAAATAGGAGAGTGCATATAAAGTATTTTGTCAACCTTTAAGTATTCTGTAAAACCGAACTTTGATTACTTGATCCTTCTTCATTCCAGGAAAGTCAAGTGAAGACAGAATAGGTTCAATGCACTAGACCAGTGGGCATATGGCCCACTGCCCTTTGGGAAGGGCTCTGCTTTGGTCTTATCAACCCTTTGTTCAGGCCAGGGCTGCCTCTTCCCCTATCCCCAGCATACTTTTTTAGCCTTGTCAAGACAGACCCTATTTTTTAACCTTCCCATCCCATCCCACCCCTGCACTGGCCCTGGGGATGAGAGAAGGGGCTCTGGGAGCCAATGAAGACCCTGTTGGGATTGTGGGGACAGGTTTAGCAGATTCCGGTTCAGCCCAAGCTCAGGAGGTGGCCTTTCAGCTGGCCCAGAACTGGATCCGGACCAACTTTGCTGTCTATCAGAAGAACAAAGCCATGTATGAGAAGGTAATAAGGTCTTCTTCGGTCCCATACTGAGGGTCTCACAGGATGATTGGGTGGGAGGGTGCTCCATTACTTGGGGGCACAGGGATAATGATGCCCTCCTGTGGCCATTCCTTAGAACTGTCAGTCGTCAGCCCAGTCCTAATCCTGAGAGGCATCCCAGCAGATGTTACCTAGGGATGGTCCTAAGAGTTTGAGGACTGGCGGCTGCCTTCAACCCATGACTCTTCCCTCCTCACCACAAAAGAATCAGCAGTCCAAAGATGTCTAATCACAAGCCTCAGGTTGGCAGAGTTTGCTTTAGGGCTTGCGGTGAGGTTGTTTGGGCGGCGTCTGACCATCCTCTCAACCTCATCCTCTCCTCTAGTATGATATCAGCACTGACACCGGGGAGCCTGGTGGTGGAGGGGAGTACAAAGTGCAGGTAACGATGCCAGCCACCTGTGACAGGGGTTGGGGGAGGCAGAATGGGGGGGGAGATGCTCTAAGTTAGAGATGGTGCCTGTGCCCAGGGTGGTTGGTACAGAGGAGAGGTCTGAGAGATAGAGTCAGGGCCTGTCCCAGGTGACAATCTTCACAGAGGATAGCATGCCTTCACCCTGACTGGCTATGCCTTCTCCTACCCCAGGAGGGCTTTGGCTGGACCAATGGGGTTGCCCTGCAGTACCTGGCTCGATATGGTAACCGGCTGACTTCTAGGTCAGGACCCATGCTGCCCAGTACCAGCTGGCTACTCTTGGCCCTCCTGCTTCTGGGTTTGTTCTGCTGAGACAGAAGGACTCAGCCTAGGAATGTCTTGCACTGAGTTTATATATTCCTTAGCAGTATGTATGACTCCCCCAATAGAATGCAAGTTCTTCATGAGCAGAGACTTGCCTTTGTATCCAATAAATCAATTCTTATTGTCATCCTGGCCTCAACACCTTCACTAACTATCCATTTCTTTTCTTTTCTTTTTTTTTTTTGGTGAGGCAATTGGGATTAAGTGACTTGACCAGAGTCACACAGCTAGTGAGTGTTATGTGTCTGAGGCTGGATTTGAACTCAGGTCCTCCTGACTCCAGGGCCAGTGCTCTATCCACTGCGCCACCTAGCTGCCCCTAACTATCCATTTCTGAAGGCCAAGGATTGGGCTAGTGAGGCCCTGGACTAGATTGGTCCAAGGCATGGGATGGTAAACCAAGTCACTTCGTGGCCTGAGAATTCATTGAAGGGTCACAATGTATTCCATCAGGATCACCTCCATAGTCACTGTTCTCCCCTCTCTCCAAATCAAGCTGATTATTTCCAATGCTTTATTGTTTTTGCTGAACTGCTTACAAATACTGG